TCTCTCTCTCTCTCTCTCTTTGATTTGTTAGTTTGCGTTTGTGTATTAATATAGATGGTTACATAATTCTACATCACTTAAATATATATTAACCAATATATAAGAGATCTGAGTTGAAATCTCTAATTTTAATAATGAACCAGAGGCCAACAAGCTCAAATAAACAATTTGATCCATCTAAAACTTTCATAAAATCATTCGGATTTCAAGATTGATCTTTTCAAATGAGTTATTATTTTACGGCGGTATGTAACACGTNTATTTTACGGCGGTATGTAACACGTAATAGTTATATTTGTTAAATTAATCAACAAATAAGGTTTATGGTACTCTTGAGAAGGAATTCCAAATCTCAATAAAAAAAATATAAACATGTGTTAATTTATACATGTACTTGTGTTTTACATAATAATCGTTGGTTCTCGATTCAAATACGCGTTCGGGTATTTAACTTATAACTAACCGCTCAATTCGGTTCGGGAGTTTTGTCCAGCCCTAATTATATATAGAATTTACATGTTTATTGTTTCTTTAAGAAACTAATGTTTATTTTTGTTTAATTAATTCATAATTGAAGTTAAAAAACTGATATGATTTTGAAATAATTTCTCTTTTTACACACAAAATAAAATCAAACAATATTACCTTGCATTCTCGAATTACTTGTGCAGACATTCAACCCTGTGCAACTGGGATGTTCCTTAGTGTTTGGAATATGAATATCGTGGCTTCTTAGATCGTCAAATTGTGTGAGTAATTTGATCTTGCATCTCATGGAACATCTTGTGCTAGATATTAGCAAAGGAATTAAGCGAAGTTATTTTCCCAAACACTATATCGGAGGAAAGGCACAAATGTTTTGTTTAAAGATAATGATATAAGTGATAGAATAATGGCAGATTGATCTCTTGCACAAAGATCAATGTCGTGTGAAAATTTTTACAATGTATGTGTACATTACACATATATCTTGATATTAACTTGTTTCACATTGCCATTACAGGGACCATTTTTGTAAGTTTGCTGAGATTTGCTTTTGGGAATTTGGTGATCGAGTGAAACATTGGATCACATTGAATGAGCTTTTAGTTATTGTGGATATGTGAGGGGCAATTCCCCCCCCCCCCCCTCTCCCCTCCCGGTCGAGGTAAACCTCGTGCAACTTCAGTGAATGAAACTTCAATGGAAAATAAGCTGCCTCTCCTGGGTGCAACACCAATGGAACAACGTGCAACATCAATGGAACAACAAACAACATCGATGGAACAACTGATGCGTTCCTCCATCCTTCATCACAAAAGTGCAATGACTATTCCTCACTTTACTTCTACAGAAGGACATCCGATCGAAGTTGGAGAACTAGTTCCTATGGCACACAATTTGCCTCAACTTGTTTCCTCTGAAGGAGATCCAATCAGAGAACTAGTTGCTATGCACAAAATTTGTCCCACCTTATTGTGGAAATTTACTTAATCATGCACAACGGAAAGTAAAACAATTTCAATTGTCATCAAGGATCAACTTTGTATTTAGAGAAAAACTGTTATTAGAATGGTATCTTTGATGAATTTTGCAAATTCCTTTCTGATTCTTGAATAAGAACAATCACAAACTGAAATTCAATGTTGTCCAATCGTTCAGCCTCCAATGGAAATTCACATAGGGAACGAGATTCAGAGAACTAGGGTTTTTACTTTTCTTGTACTAGCAAAAATAATTATTTTCTCTTCTGATTTTTCCAAACCCTAGTAGCATACTAATACAAGTCCAAACGGGCTTGGCCCATCGTTTAACTTAATCCAGTCCAATATTTAATTAATCCAAGTAATTAAATTTGGTCCATGAATTAATCCAATACATGTGACGGGAAATGTCACGTGGTATGACAAAATCAAACTTGTTCATTTATCTTGAAACTATAATCCCTTCGTCAATATGATCCGATTAATTATGAGATATGAGTATGTGTCAATCTCAAATATCGATCATATTTTTTATCCCACCGTTAAGTCAATGTAAATTGAAAATTCCTTTTCGAGTTATGAGTTCACATTGGCCAATGATTTCATTATCAACTTAACTCAATAAAA